AGAGCCCCTCTGAGCTGCAGCAGAGCCCCTCTGAGCAGCAGTAGAGCCCCTCTGAGCTGCAGCAGAGCCCCTCTGAGCTGCAGCAGAGCCCCTCTGAGCAGCAGCAGGGCCCCTCTGAGCTGCAGTAGAGCCCCTCTGAGCAGCAGCAGAGCCCCTCTGAGCTGCAGCAGAGCCCCTCTGAGCTGCAGCAGGGCCCCTCTGAGCAGCAGCAGGGCCCCTCTGAGCTGCAGCAGAGCCCCTCTGAGCAGCAGCAGAGCCCCTCTGAGCTGCAGCAGAGCCCCTCTGAGCAGCAGTAGAGCCCCTCTGAGCTGCAGCAGAGCCCCTCTGAGCTGCAGCAGAGCCCCTCTGAGCAGCAGCAGGGCCCCTCTGAGCTGCAGCAGGGCCCCTCTGAGCTGCAGCAGAGCCCCTCTGAGCTGCAGCAGAGCCCCTCTGAGCTGCAGCAGAGCCCCTCTGAGCAGCAGCAGGGCCCCTCTGAGCTGCAGTAGAGCCCCTCTGAGCTGCAGTAGAGCCCCTCTGAGCTGCAGCAGGGCCCCTCTGAGCTGCAGCTCAATTCTAACATGTCCTCTAGAACAGCATGGAAACAGCAGCGATTGTCCCTCTGGCTCATCCTGAAGAAGTACCACTCTGGTGTCTAGATCATTCTATCTACTCTGGGTCTACGATCTTGTGGGTAAACCTTAGTTTGTTTCTGTGAGGATGTTTGCATTCTGTCTGCAAACAAAAAACAGGAGCTTATGGACAGCTTCAAGAGGTGAAACACCTCGACTCTGACAGCCAGTCGGGAAGCTCACTCTCCTGTTAAACACTGTCCACATATCTAGCATCGAGGGATCTTCTCTTCCACTGATGGACCAATCAACTGTTAGCTTCATTCTGACATCAGTGTCTGGGACCAGGCATGGACTGGTAATTGGGCATACTGGTACCTGACCCTTGCCCGGTGGGTCGACGTACTGTTTGAAACATATAATCAGCAGCGCAATGTTCCGATCATCCGGCCCTAACCTCAGGCTGCTGCAGCCCATTGGTTATCATCCCTGTCAGTCTGAAGGGCTAGGCCAATCAGAAAGTAGAACAACACCTTCACTCTCCATTGGAACTTTGTGCGGCGGTGTTCACGGTAGTAATGGACAAGAAACGCAAAGAAACAAGTTCTTCAAACGAACGCTGCGAAATGTGTCAACTGACTGACATGTTCCAACAGCAGGCCCTTCATCTGCTCCGCTGTCTGATGTTAAATATGATGGCCGTTGCACTGGAGGCGACGGCGAACTGAGCAGTGAACATGATGTCAGTACGGCTGAGGAGAGACATGGTGGAGAGCAGAGAGCTGGAGGAAATAGATGACTTTGCCCGTCCTGATCCTTTTACAAAACTTTTTGAATCACCACCCACAACAAAGCACAAAAAATCCAGCTGTGCAAAAGGTGTTCACAACTAAAAATGCAACCAACAGGTCTGTCTCTCTCTCTCTCTCTCTCTCTCTCTCTCTCTCTCCCTCCCTCCCTCCCTCCCTCCCCCTGATGGTAATGGAGTTTACATCTTACAGTGTTAATAAATTTGGAAGTATTTCAAGTCTCTCTAATTTCCATTAACCAGGCCTCAAGGCATTGCACAGCTGGTAAACACCCCTGGTTTTCAAAATTATTTTTATTGAATAAAAATAATTAAAGTATTCATGTCTGGGTGAAACTGCTTTATTAAAACCATTCACCTAAAGTTTAGAAATAATATTTTCTAGCTGGAAAGGCTCTGAAATGTCTGCTTCCATTTGCAACCAGTCTGGCTTTTCCACTTTAAAAGTCCTGAGATCAGGTTGAATGTGAAGAATGACGTGTTGCTCGGACAGACATCCAACCCAGACTGGATAAACTGTAGAAGCCATCAGGCCCAGTGCTCCCATTAGCACGGTAAGCCATCAGGCCCACTGCTCCCATTAGCACGGTAAGCCATCAGGCCCAGTGCTCCCATTAGCACGGTAAGCCATCAGGCCCAGTGCTCCCATTAGCACGGTAAGCCATCAGGCCCAGTGCTCCCATTAGCACGGTAAGCCATCAGGCCCAGTGCTCCCATTAGCACGGTAAGCCATCAGGCCCAGTGCTCCCGTTAGCACGGTAAGCCATCAGGCCCAGTGCTCCCATTAGCACGGTACGCCATCAGGCCCAGTGCTCCCATTAGCACGGTAAGCCATCAGGCCCAGTGCTCCCATTAGCACGGTACGCCATCAGGCCCAGTGCTCCCGTTAGCACGGTAAGCCATCAGGCCCAGTGCTCCCGTTAGCACGGTAAGCCATCAGGCCCAGTGCTCCCATTAGCACGGTACGCCATCAGGCCCAGTGCTCCCATTAGCACGGTAAGCCATCAGGCCCAGTGCTCCCGTTAGCACGGTAAGCCATCAGGCCCAGTGCTCCCGTTAGCACGGTAAGCCATCAGGCCCAGTGCTCCCATTAGCACGGTACGCCATCAGGCCCAGTGCTCCCATTAGCACGGTAAGCCATCAGGCCCAGTGCTCCCATTAGCGCGGTAAGCCATCAGGCCCAGTGCTCCCATTAGCACGGTAAGCCATCCGGCCCACTGCTCCCATTAGCACGGTAAGCCATCAGGCCCACTGCTCCCATTAGCACGGTAAGCCATCCGGCCCACTGCTCCCATTAGCACGGTAAGCCATCCGGCCCACTGCTCCCATTAGCACGGTAAGCCATCAGGCCCACTGCTCCGATTAGCACGGTAAGCCATCAGGCCCACTGCTCCCATTAGCACGGTAAGCCATCCGGCCCAGTGCTCCCATTAGCACGGTAAGCCATCAGGCCCAGTGCTCCCATTACCACGGAAAGCCATCAGGCCCACTGCTCCCATTAGCACGGTAAGCCATCAGGCCCAGTGCTCCCATTAGCAAGGTAAGCCATCAGGCCCAGTGCTCCCATTAGCAAGGTAAGCCATCAGGCCCAGTGCTCCCATTAGCACGGTAATCCATCAGGCCCAGTGCTCCCATTAGCACGGTAAGCCATCAGGCCCACTGCTCCCATTAGCACGGTAAGCCATCAGGCCCAGTGCTCCCATTAGCAAGGTAAGCCATCAGGCCCATTGCTCCCATTAGCACGGTAAGCCATCAGGCCCACTGCTCCCATTAGCACGGTAAGCCATCAGGCCCAGTGCTCCCATTAGCACGGTAAGCCATCAGGCCCAGTGCTCCCATTAGCACGGTAAGCCATCAGGCCCAGTGCTCCCATTAGCACGGTAATCCATCAGGCCCACTGCTCCCATTAGCACGGTAAGCCATCAGGCCCAGTGCTCCCATTAGCACGGTAAGCCATCAGGCCCAGTGCTCCCATTAGCAAGGTAAGCCATCAGGCCCATTGCTCCCATTAGCACGGTAAGCCATCAGGCCCAGTGCTCCCATTAGCACGGTAAGCCATCAGGCCCACTGCTCCCATTAGCACGGTAAGCCATCAGGCCCAGTGCTCCCATTAGCACGGTAAGCCATCAGGCCCAGTGCTCCCATTAGCACGGTAAGCCATCAGGCCCACTGCTCACATTAGCACGGTAAGCCATCAGGCCCACTGCTCCCATTAGCACGGTAAGCCATCAGGCCCACTGCTCCCATTAGCACGGTAAGCCATCAGGCCCAGTGCTCCCATTAGCACTGTAAGCCATCAGGCCCAGTGCTCCCATTAGCACGGTAAGCCATCAGGCCCAGTGCTCCCATTAGCACGGTACGCCATCAGGCCCAGTGCTCCCATTAGCACGGTACGCCATCAGGCCCAGTGCTCCCATTAGCACGGTAAGCCATCAGGCCCAGTGCTCCCATTAGCACGGTAAGCCATCAGGCCCAGTGCTCCCATTAGCACGGTAAGCCATCGGGCCCACTGCTCCCATTAGCACGGTAAGCCATCAGGCCCACTGCTCCCATTAGCACGGTAAGCCATCAGGCCCAGTGCTCCCATTAGCACAGTAAGCCATCAGGCCCACTGCTCCCATTAGCACGGTAAGCCATCAGGCCCAGTGCTCCCATTAGCACAGTAAGCCATCAGGCCCAGTGCTCCCATTAGCACGGTACGCCATCCGGCCCACTGCTCCCATTAGCACGGTAAGCCATCAGGCCCAGTGCTCCCATTAGCACGGTAAGCCATCAGGCCCAGTGCTCCCATTAGCACGGTAAGCCATCAGGCCCAGTGCTCCCATTAGCACGGTAAGCTATCGGGCCCACTGCTCCCATTAGCACGGTAAGCCATCAGGCCCACTGCTCCCATTAGCACGGTAAGCCATCAGGCCCAGTGCTCCCATTAGCACAGTAAGCCATCAGGCCCACTGCTCCCATTAGCACGGTAAGCCATCAGGCCCACTGCTCCCATTAGCACGGTAAGCCATCAGGCCCACTGCTCCCATTAGCACGGTAAGCCATCAGGCCCAGTGCTCCCATTAGCACAGTAAGCCATCAGGCCCAGTGCTCCCATTAGCACGGTACGCCATCCGGCCCACTGCTCCCATTAGCACGGTAAGCCATCAGGCCCAGTGCTCCCATTAGCACGGTAAGCCATCCGGCCCAGTGCTCCCATTAGCACGGTAAGCCATCAGGCCCAGTGCTCCCATTAGCACAGTAAGCCATCAGGCCCACTGCTCCCATTAGCACGGTAAGCCATCAGGCCCAGTGCAAATCTTTCTGTTTTTTCAACTTATAAAGAGATTCATCGTTTAAAAAAAGGTTATTAAAATTAAAGTGGTGGGCCTATGTTACTGTTATATTTTATTACATTAATGAATTAAAGTTTAATAAAATATAATTGTGACTATCTTTACGAAATAAATGTGTTTTTATTTAGGCGGTTTGTTCACTCGTTTTTTTATCCTGTCGCTGTAGCTTTCACACGAGTTTTTACGCATGTTTCAGGGGGGGGGGCTGGGCACGGTAAAGGTTGGGAATCCCTGGTTTACACATTCAGTACACCAATGCTAGGTCCCAGTCCACCCAGTCTGGGACTTTATGGATGCCCTGGTGCTTACCTCTGCAGCTGGGCTATTTCCTGACTGATGTCATCCAGCTCCTTGATGCCCATGAACTCCCCTGATCCCACTGAACTAGAGCTGTCCTGTAGAGACAGAAACATGCAGAAAATGGAAAGAGAACTCAGAAAAGGAAAAGCAGAAGAAGAGCAGTCACCAAAATGATCCGGAGGGACAGAAACAGGAGAAAAGAAACATAAAACCTGCCTGGTCAGTCACCAAAGGCTAGCCTGGAATGCTATCTCAGCTAGCTTCACTCAGAACATACACTAAATTGCCAAAAGTATTTGCTCACCTGCCTTGACTCACATATGAGCTTAAGTGACATCCCGTTCCTAATCCATAGGGTTCAATATGACGTCGGTCCACCCTTTGCAGCTAGAACAGCTTCAACTCTTCTGGGAAGGCTGTCCACAAGGTTTAGGAGTGTGTTTATGGGAATTTTTGACCATTCTTCCAGAAGCGCATTTGTGAGGTCGCACACTGATGTTGGACGAGAAGGCCTGGCTCTCAGTCTCCGCTCTAATTCATCCCAAAGGTGTTCTATCGGGTTGAGGTCAGGACTCTGTGCAGGCCAGTCAAGTTCATCCACACCAGACTCTGTCATCCATGTCTTTATGGACCTTGCTTTGTGCACTGGTGCACAGTCATGTTGGAAGAGGAAGGGGCCAGCTCCAAACTGTTCCCACAAAGTTGGGAGCATGGAATTGTCCAAAATGTCTTGGTATGCTGAAGCATTCAGAGTTCCTTTCACTGGAACTAAGGGGCCAAGCCCAGCTCCTGAAAAACAACCTCACACCATAATCCCCCCTCCACCAAACTTTACACTTGGCACAATGCAGTCAGACAAGTACCGTTCTCCTGGCAACCGCCAAACCCAGACCCGTCCATCAGATTGCCAGATGGAGAAGCGCGATTCGTCACTCCAGAGAACGCGTCTCCACTGCTCTAGAGTCCAGTGGCGGCGTGCTTTACACCACCGCATCCGACGCTTTGCATTGCACTTGGTGATGTATGGCTTGGATGCAGCTGCTCGACCATGGAAACCCATTCCATGAAGCTCTCTGCGCACTGTTCTTGAGCTAATCTGAAGGCCACATGAAGTTTGGAGGTCTGTAGTGATTGACTCTGCAGAAAGTTGGCGACCTCTTCGCACTATGCGCGTCAGCATCCGCTGACCCCGCTCCGTCAGTTTACGTGGCCTACCACTTCGTGGCTGAGTTGCTGTCGTTCCCAAACACTTCCATTTTCTTATAATACAGCTGACAGTTGACTGTGGAATATTTAGGAGCGAGGAAATTTCACGACTGGATTTGTTGCACAGGTGGCATCCTATCACAGTTCCACGCTGGAATTCACTGAGCTCCTGAGAGCGACCCATTCTTTCACAAATGTTTGTAAAAACAGTCTGCATGCCTAGGTGCTTGAATTTATACACCTGTGGCCATGGAAGTGATTGGAACACCTGATCCCAATAATTTGGATGGGTGAGCAAATACTTTTGGCAATATAGTGTACCTGCAGGAATAGGCTGGCTTTAAAAACAACAACAACAAACTATTGGTCATAGTTTAAAGAAGTGTGTGAGCAACTATTGCTGCAACCTGAGGAGGCACATCAGCAACGTGGACATCTAAAGGAACGATGAAAGCTTGCAAAGATCAGCATCCGCCATCAAAGGCAGCGTCTTTTAAAGGCATACAAACATTCAAAAAACCTGCCGTTCACTAAGGCACCTGCAGGGGGCAGCAACATGTTCAGGTCCCACCTGAACTACAGGGGGCGCTAAAGGCCAAAGAAGATGGAAGATGTGAGGAAAGTTTGAGATAATCCCGTTTTATTTCCAAAATGAACCTTTGGAATAATTTTAGGTGAAATGTGATCAAAAAAGCAGAAATATCTGCTGAGAGAGGAGGGCGCCTCCTGGTGGGAGGAGGCCTGCTTCCTGGTGGAGAGGAGTGCGCCTCCTGGTGGAGAGGAGGCCTGCTTCCTGGTGGAGAGGAGGGCGCCTCCTGGTGGAGAGGAGGGCGCCTCCTGGTGGAGAGGAGGGCTGCCTCCTGGTGGGAGGAGGGCTGCTTCCTGGTGGAGAGGAGGGCGCCTCCTGGTGGAGAGGAGTGCGCCTCCTGGTGGAGAGGAGGCCTGCTTCCTGGTGGAGAGGAGGGCGCCTCCTGGTGGAGAGGAGGGGCGCCTCCTGGTGGGAGGAGGGCGCCTCCTGGTGGAGAGGAGGGCTGCCTCCTGGTGGAGAGGAGGGCTGCCTCCTGGTGGGAGGAGGGCTGCCTCCTGGTGGGAGGAGGGCTGCTTCCTGGTGGAGAGGAGGGCGCCTCCTGGTGGGAGGAGGGCTGCCTCCTGGTGGAGAGGAGGGTGCCTCCTGGTGGAGAGGAGGCCTGCTTCCTGGTGGAGAGGAGGGCGCCTCCTGGTGGAGAGGAGGGCGCCTCCTGGTGGAGAGGAGGCCTGCTTCCTGGTGGAGAGGAGGGCGCCTCCTGGTGGAGAGGAGGGCGCCTCCTGGTGGAGAGGAGGGCGCCTCCTGGTGGAGAGGAGGGCTGCTTCCTGGTGGAGAGGAGGGCGCCTCCTGGTGGGAGGAGGGCTGCCTCCTGGTGGAGAGGAGGGCGCCTCCTGGTGGAGAGGAGGGCTGCTTCCTGGTGGAGAGGAGGCCTGCTTCCTGGTGGAGAGGAGGGCGCCTCCTGGTGGAGAGGAGGGCTGCCTCCTGGTGGGAGGAGGGCTGCCTCCTGGTGGGAGGAGGGCTGCTTCCTGGTGGAGAGGAGGGTGCCTCCTGGTGGAGAGGAGGGCTGCCTCCTGGTGGAGAGGAGGGCGCCTCCTGGTGGAGAGGAGTGCGCCTCCTGGTGGAGAGGAGGCCTGCTTCCTGGTGGGAGGAGGGCGCCTCCTGGTGGAGAGGAGGGCTGCTTCCTGGTGGAGAGGAGGGCGCCTCCTGGTGGAGAGGAGGGCTGCTTCCTGGTGGAGAGGAGGGCGCCTCCTGGTGGGAGGAGGGCTGCCTCCTGGTGAAGAGGAGGGCGCCTCCTGGTGGAGAGGAGTGCGCCTCCTGGTGGAGAGGAGGCCTGCTTCCTGGTGGAGAGGAGGGCTGCTTCCTGGTGGAGAGGAGGGCGCCTCCTGGTGGGAGGAGGGCTGCCTCCTGGTGGAGAGGAGGGCGCCTCCTGGTGGAGAGGAGGCCTGCTTCCTGGTGGAGAGGAGGGCGCCTCCTGGTGGAGAGGAGGGCGCCTCCTGGTGGAGAGGAGGGCGCCTCCTGGTGGAGAGGAGGGCGCCTCCTGGTGGAGAGGAGGGCTGCTTCCTGGTGGAGAGGAGGGCACCTCCTGGTGGGAGGAGGGCGCCTCCTGGTGGAGAGGAGGGCGCCTCCTGGTGGAGAGGAGGGCTGCTTCCTGGTGGAGAGGAGGGCTGCTTCCTGGTGGAGAGGAGGGCGCCTCCTGGTGGAGAGGAGGGCTGCCTCCTGGTGGGAGGAGGGCTGCTTCCTGGTGGAGAGGAGGGCTGCCTCCTGGTGGAGAGGAGGGCGCCTCCTGGTGGAGAGGAGGCCTGCTTCCTGGTGGAGAGGAGGGCGCCTCCTGGTGGAGAGGAGGGCGCCTCCTGGTGGAGAGGAGGGCTGCTTCCTGGTGGAGAGGAGGGCGCCTCCTGGTGGGAGGAGGGCTGCCTCCTGGTGGAGAGGAGGGCGCCTCCTGGTGGAGAGGAGGGCGCCTCCTGGTGGAGAGGAGGGCTGCTTCCTGGTGGAGAGGAGGGCGCCTCCTGGTGGAGAGGAGGGCGCCTCCTGGTGGAGAGGAGGGCGCTTCCTGGTGGAGAGGAGGGCGCCTCCTGGTGGGAGGAGGGCTGCCTCCTGGTGGGAGGAGGGCTGCCTCCTGGTGGAGAGGAGGGCTGCCTCCTGGTGGGAGGAGGGCTGCTTCCTGGTGGAGAGGAGGGCGCCTCCTGGTGGAGAGGAGAGCGCCTCCTGGTGGAGAGGAGGGCACCTCCTGGTGGAGAGGAGAGCGCCTCCTGGTGGAGAGGAGGGCTGCCTCCTGGTGGAGAGGAGGGCCGCCTCCTGGTGGAGAGGAGGGCTGCCTCCTGGTGGAGAGGAGGCCTGCTTCCTGGTGGAGAGGAGGGCTGCCTCTTGGTGGAGAGGAGGGCTGCCTCCTGGTGGAGAGGAGGCCTGCTTCCTGGTGGAGAGGAGGGCGCCTCCTGGTGGGAGGAGGGCTGCCTCCTGGTGGAGAGGAGGGCCGCCTCCTGGTGGAGAGGAGGGCACCTCCTGGTGGAGAGGAGGGCGCCTCCTGGTGGAGAGGAGGGCACCTCCTGGTGGGAGGAGGGCTGCTTCCTGGTCGAGAGGAGGGCCGCCTCCTGGTGGAGAGGAGGGCGCCTCCTGGTGGAGAGGAGGGCACCTCCTGGTGGAGAGGAGGGCGCCTCCTGGTGGAGAGGAGAGCGCCTCCTGGTGGAGAGGAGGGCTGCTTCCTGTTAGAGTTGGGCTCCTCTCAGGGTTTAAAGCTGATGACAGATTAAGTTGATTTCAGTGAAACTGGAGCAAAGCAGAACGTTTGATCTCATTCTGTGAACACGGGTCTAACTGCAGGTGCGGCTCCTGTTGCTGTAGATCTACAGCAGCCCACTCAGAGAGGAGCAGCGGTGCTCAGAGGCAACATCTGCTTCCAGCTCTTGGTTCTCTGGTTAGCGTTTGGTTCGCTGCCTGATCTTCCTGTTTTACTTCCAGTCTAGGATCAGGGACTCCTGACTCAGCTAAAGTGTTGCTTTCATCAACCAGGACCATGACCAAAATACTTCGTCCTCGCCGCTTTTTCCCCGTGACGATGACGAGACGATAACGCACAAAAATTGTTTCCACAAAATAGAAACAGCCATGGACGAATGGACATTAAAAATGTAATAATTTATCATTAATTTGTTATTGTTAATATCAGTGTTTCTTGAGCTTCATAGAAGATTCTGCGTCGTTGTCCTGTTTGTCCAACAGCGCGCCGCGCCGCTCAGTCAGCAGCAGCAGAGGGTTTATACTCATAGCTCAACCTTCGCAGTCATGGCCTCGGATAGCGGTGAACGTAGGAAGAGCTGGTTGAAAACAACGCCTGGATGTATGGAGATGTTTCCTTTACAACGCAAAGGAAAACAAAACAACAACAACAACCTACTGGTAACTGGCTGTGGGTGTGTGTGTGTGCGTGGGGGGGGGGTGCCTTCCTGTTCCTGTATCCGTCTGTCTCTCTGTCAGAGAAGAAAGATGTTCTACTGATACCCTGGATGTTAATTGTTTAAATTTCTTCCTCCCAACTAGATTCCTGACCCAGTGACATCACAGCCAGATCAGAGGCTGGGGGAGGAAGGGAAGCCCCCCCACCCCTGACTCCAAAGAGCAGAAAGTCCTGGAGAACTCAGTGGTAAAGATTGGGCGTTCTGACCTGCCTGCAGGGACCATGGAGGATGAAGACTTTATGGATATGATGAAACAAGCTGACAGAAGGTTCAATGAGTGCAGAGGATATATGTTGAAAAGAATCGGAGTGTGAAGTTCTATTCTGCACAGTGTTGACTATAATGACTAAAACTTGTTCAGCGCTGCTTCCTGATGCTGCAGTTCAGGATCCAGAGAAGGTGAGCACTGAAGCTGGTGTCAGAAAGGTTCTCTGTCTGTAGCTGAAGCTGATCTGTTCTGTGCAGCACCAAAACCAAAGCAGTGCTTCTGATTGGCTTAGAGCTTTTTTCAGACCTAGACAACTTATGGTCATTTTGTATTCACAGAGTTTATACAAAACCAAATTATGTTACAGCTTTGAGACGGTAAATGAACATTTCCATCCATAAGTGCAGCAGTGATCAAATGTAAACAGTGTGGGAGAAAAAACATGGAGCAAAAAATTGCATTGATCTAGAAGTTCAGAGTATTAATCTCTATGGTGCAGATCTGCAGTATTGGTTTGGTGTCTTCAGTGTGATGCAGAGTTTATCCATCAGTTCATCAGTGTGATGGCGGTGGGGAAGAAGCTGCTGCAGAACCTGCTGGTCCTGCATTGAATGTTGTGAAGCCTCTTCCAAGAGGGCAGCAGGGAGAACAGTCCATGGTGGGGGGGTGAGGGGTCATTGATGATGTCACGGGCTCGGGACACACAGCGCTGGGATGAAATGTCTTTAATGGAGGGAAGAGGAGCCCCCATGATCCTCTCTGCTGTTCTCACCTTCTTCCAGCAGGCGTTGGCGATCATAGATGCAGGTTTGATGTCAGTTTTTTATCGTTTTAAACGGCGTATTTCATGAAAATATGGAGAGCTGTTCTTGGCTGCTACCTTGGAGCGTCGCCATGGTAACCTAAAAGTCATTATCCTCTAAAAGCTCAAATATGTTGAAGAAGTTTAACATGTTCTTTGGATTGCTCTGGATTATTTTCTAATGAGGAACTAAAACATTTTAATGATAGTTTAGAGAGATTTTGACAAAAACAGCCGATTGGCCGATGAGTTGACAGTGGGCGTGGCCAATGCTGTAACTGCAGGACTGGGGCTGAGTGTTTAAAGCTACAGTGTGTAATTTTCAGCAACATCTAACGCCCAGACTGAAGACCGCAGCAACATGAACATCTCCCCCCCACCGCTTCTCCCCCCCAACAGTACGGCGAGCGTTACGGGACAAAATGTCTTCCACGATGTCCGCATCACCTACCTTCTCAAGTGATGAGGTTTGTTTACATAGATAATTTTACAGATAGTATTTCATTAGTCTGTGTAGGGTATAGATTTCATGTAGACTTAAGATAATAAATATACCCGTTATTTTTTCTACATCGTTGTGACGTTTTGGTGAGCTGCTTTGCATGGTGATATAAACAGACGAAGTAATTGTAGTCATTAGTTTAACAGCGAGATTGTGTTCGCTGTAAGAATATATATTCCCCGTTTACAGAGTCTAAGTCTTGTTTGTGGCACGGGGGTTACAAGGCGAGGAAGAGGGAGAGGAAGAGGACGAGGGCAGAGAGGCCGGGGTGGGCATGCAGCTAGGGCCAGGCGAGGGAGAGGTGCCAGCGGGGTGACTAGAGCAGAGGAGGAAAGGCTTGAAGATCTCCAAAGGAGCCGGAGAGAAGAAACCGAGGTATATATCCGTAGCTCGCTAATATGCAGCTTCATATATCTGTCTCTCTCACACTCACACACGCCACTATCAGCTGTGGTAATTTTATAAAGCTGTGGCCTTATCTAGGTAATGCTACCTGACATCTTGACAATAGTTTGGTTGAAACGGGATGTGGGGGTGGGATATTACGTGTATAAAAAGACAATTATATGTGTAGGATTAATTACCTGTCCAAGAGAAAACTGGCAACTTGAGCGTCACTTTGAAAACCTTTTTCCTCCATCAGTGACTTCCATCGTGTAAATGCCGTGCCAATGTTGATCCGTGTTTTTTGCCGTTTCTTGTCCCGCTTGCGTTTATTTTCGTCGTGTTTCCGCTTCTTAGATGACGGGGGTTCGGTGTCCGCCGCTTTTCCTTGTGATACAGAGTAGGCATGATCCTCCATTCGTCTGATGTTTGGCCACACAGTGCCAAACAGTTTGCAAAGTCACTCACGCCTGCCGCCTTGTTCACCTTTCTTGTTACTGAAGCGCCGTATACCTGCTTCTTCTTCTTCTTTGGTTTCAGGCAGACTAAACGCTTCTCAGGCATAATACTGCCATCTATTGTTCAGTACCGTCTCAGTTCATCTCTCTCAACTTGCCGTAGTTACTTGTTTGTTGGCTCTGCGCTGCCGTAGCGCAAAGATGTCTGCCTCCATGGCTGCGAGACCCGCTCCTATGTAATTATAAATAACGAATTCTAAGGCAACGCAAATATTATGGTTAAAAGGCTGAGCTCATAGGTGATGATAAATAACATAGTTATGTATAATATATTCAATTTCTGACTTTATATCCCTGTAATTATTACACACTGTAGCTTTAAAGTTACACTGCAGGACTGTTTAATGAAATAATTCCATATAAAAGCATGATTGATAGAATAATACGGAGAAATAGAAGAGATAAAGTTTGATAAAAGAGACTCGGTAAAAATGTGACTGATTATTTATTAATAAATATAAAAGCTAATGTAGGAAACTTACTGGTTTTAAGTTTAATCTACAGAGGAAAACATCATGTTAAAATGTTTAGACCCATGTTAACTAACTCAACTTTATTGAATTTTTCTATTCAGCTTAACAGTCTGACATATTATATAAATAATATATATTTACACATATAAAGGCAATCAGTTTCCTCATTTAATCTGAGCTCCAACTACTGATCCGGTTTCACTGAGAGCCAAAGAGGGAAAATGTAGATTTCCTCAGTGACACTGAAAGTGACTCCAACAGCGGATCAGAACCAATCAGTCCACCAATGTGGCCTCAGGTCCGGATCTACAGCCTCATCATTTTAATCAGATCTAAGATCAACATCCAGCATCAAAGCAGAAGGCTGAAGGAAACATTTCCTAACAAGTCAAATTTAATTTCCTTACCTGTAGAAACCCCGTTTCCTTTATTTCAAACTGTAACTGTTAAAGCTGGAGCTAAAAGGATATTTAAACAGATGAATATATAAACAGCCAGTGAACTCACCCGTCTCATTTCGGACAGTGCAGCCATCTCTGATCCCCCAGGAGTCACGTATCCAGGCATCGCCTAGAGCCACAGAGAGACGTTCTGTTAGAGAAACTCAGCAACATCTGTCCAGACATCAAACCAGGAGCAACAATCCTCCCAGAAAATGAATTTCTTCTCATAAGAAAAACTGAGGAACTCTGAAGTCAAGCAGAGCTGAGAACTGGGAGGAGGATTCAGAACTGAACTGGTTCCACCGCTGGTTCTGTTACAGCCTGAATGACAGAATCTATGGTTTCAAATTCCTGCCAAAAATCAGCACTGTATTAACCAGTAACAATAGCGCAATTAGTTACACTATAAAAAATATCCTTCTGCTCCCTCTCATCTCATAAGCCCCATCTTGCTGACCTCCCTGAAATAAAGCAACAGCTGCATTATCCCTGCTGGGAACAACAAGAGGTAAATCTGCACACAGTTTCCATCATTGCTGGGGATTTTAACCAGGCTGACTGGAAGACTGTTCTCCCTCATTTCTACCAACAGGTGGACTTTGCAACTCGGGGTGAAAACTCTTTAGACCTGGTTTACTCTGACATCAAAGATGAATTCAGAGCAGGCCCCCCACCCCCACCTCGGGTCATCAGATCATCTCTCAGTCATGCTCATCCCTGCATATAAGCCCCATCTAATCAGGGCTAAACCGACAGTTAAAGAGGTCAGAGTGTGGTCTCAGGGCGCCATGGAAACACTCCAAGCCTGTTTGAATGGTCTGACTGGAACATCTTCAAGGCTGCAGCAGATTTCTGAGTGAGATGGAGGGGAATTCACATAGATGCAAAATGGATCTTTAAAAGTAGCATCATTTAATATAAATAAAGTACTCAATCCAGTTAAGAGGGAAAGAATCTTATCAAAATTAAAGATAAAATACAAGTTGCTTTTTTGCAAGAGACGCACCTAAATTAACCAGAACACGTTAAACTAAATAAACCAGGATTTAAGCTTCTCCTCACATGAATCAGGGAGGCGAAGAGGAGTGGCGACCCTCATGTCCAAAGCTGTAAATTACGAGCACATCTCAGAATATAACGACAATGAAGGCAGATTTGTAACGGTTATAGGAAAAATAGAAGGAATTGTTATAACTCTCCTTAACGTGTATATTCCACCTGGAAGAGACTGGTCCTTTTATAAAAAAAAATTGTCAATGTAATGACAACAAAAAGCAAGAGGATTCTGATATGTGGTGGAGATTTAACATCAGACTAAATCCAAAAGTTGATTCATCAAATGAAAAACCCGACGCACAAAACATTAGCAGGAGGTTAAATACCTGGATGAGTGAGCTGGGACTGGTGGACGTTTGGAGAGAAAGAAACCTGATTATTCACACGCTCACCATGTCTACTCCCGCATAGATGACTGCTTCATGTTGCAGGGAGATCTTTTTAGGGGAAACAGCTGTGAAACAGGACCTTTCAGATCATGGGCCCATATAGATCTCATGCAGCTGAATAAAAGGAGAAGGTCCCCTCTGTGGAGACTCTAACATTATGAACCCAAACCAAGGATTAACTAAAACCTGAAATTAACTTATATTTAGAAAGAAACGATAACGATAAAGTGACTCCTCCTAAAGTCTGGATGCTTTAAAAGCAGCGATTAGAGGTAAAATCATCCATCACATCACACGAGAAAAGAATCAGAGAAAAAAAAGATTACAGAGAGAACATGCAAAGTCTCCCAAAGGTGACAATACCAAACATAAAATTAAAAAACTAAAGAAAGAAATAGAAGAAATAAACAGTCATGAAATCCAAAAAAAGCTTCCCTTTATAAAACACCAATACTATGAGACAAATGGTAATCCCTGAAACTTTTATCACATCGGTTAAGAAAACAACAAGCCAACAGAACTAAACACAGAATAAGAAACAATGTAACAAAGAAAATAGAAACTAATCCAGAAGAGATCAAAACCTGCTTCCAAAAATACTATAAAACACTAAATACCAACCAAATACAAGAGCGACAGCCAGATCAACACCTTCCTGGAAAAGATCAATCTGCCAACGATCACTGATGAACAAAATAAGACATTAATATCCAGAATTACAGAAGAGGAAATTCAATCAGCGATCAGGAGAACCAGGGAGGGAGAATCTCCAGGAACAGATGGATTCACTGCAGAACGGTACAGAATTAATTCCTATATTAGAGAAAACATTCAACTGGGTTTTAGAAAATAAAAACATCCCCCCCCCTCATGGCGAGAGGCAGTGATTTCAATCATTCCCAAGGAAGGGAAAGACAACGAATGCGGGAGTTATCGCCCTGTAAGTCTCCTAAACAACGACTATAAACTGTTCACCTCCATATTATCAGAAAGAATAGAAGTCATGTTACCAGATCTGATACACAAAGACCAGACTGGCTTCGTCAGACAAAGACCGACCCGAGATAATATCAGGAAAACATTCTGAGAGGAATCACAGCAACAACTAGAGGCACTGATATTAAGCCTGGAAGCAGAGGAAGCGTTTGATTGGGTGGGATGGTCGTTTTCAGATAAACTGATCTCAGAATGTGGATTTCATTCAACAATAATTGACACATTTAAATCATTGTAAACTAAACCAACGGCTAGAATTAAAATTAACAGAGACCTGAACGATTCATTCATCTTGGAAAGGGGAAGGAGACGGGGGGGCTGTGCGTCGCTTTGTTCATTGAGCCCATGAGCCGACTGATCAGGCAGAGGCTGGATATAAAAGGGTTCCAATCACATCTGGGGAGCAGAAACTCTCCTTGTTCGCTGACCATCTATTGATAAGTAGAACACAGACTATCCCAGAACTGATGAAGCTGCTCCAAGAGTTCAGTTTAATTTCTGGTTATAGAATAAATATAAATAAAACTCAAGTATTAATATTTAACTATGATCCACCGCCTTCAATTAAAACTATATATAATTGGAATATGGAGGCTGAATCTATCAAATATTTGGGTGTTTCACTACCGACAGATCTCAAAACTGTTTGATAAAAATGATGGACCACTAAATTAGAAAATAAAATCAGACTTACATAGATGGAACGTTTTAAGTTTAAGCTCCCGGATAGAATCCATCAGGATGAACATCCTTCCACAGATGCTCTACTTATTTCCATGTCTACCAGTCAAAATCCCACCTCAACAGTTTTTAGAATGGGACAGATAAATAGCGAGGTATTTATGGCAGGGGAAAAAGGCCAGAATTAAGTTTAGAACTCTGCAATTAAAGAAAGAACAGGGCGGGACGGGCCTTCCCTGTTTACAGGAATACTATCAGCCCAGCTGAGACCTTTAGTCTGTCTCTGTTCACCATCATTCACCGCAGCCTGGAAAGAAATAGAAGGCACGACAATAAAAGGAATCCCAATAACAGCCCTTCTTTATGATTATAAATGACAGGAAGAACAGCAGATCCCAGACGACTCCATGACAGGTCGTTTTTTCAAGTCCTGGCAGGAGTTGGCTAAAATTAGCAGAATAGGAGACGCGTCTAAAATAATGAGGTGGTGCGACTATGATTCAGACTGGATGACAGATTCTAACTATGGATCTCTAAAGGATTAACTTCCTACTGTTCATTTGTTCACAAAGGGACATTTCAAAGTTTGGAAACCTTACAGAAAGATCATAAACTGGGAAAAGAGGATTTCTTTAGGTACCTGCAGGTGAGACACTATTTCAACAGTAACCTTAAAGAGGTGCTGAAAAAGAGCGAAGTTTCATGGAGGCATTTTTATCACTAATTAAACCCGGATCAGACGGCAAAATCATCTCCAGATGATATAAGGCCATAAGGACCTGGAATGTGTCTCTATGGTTGGAGTCTAATGTAGAAGGACCTGGAATGTGTCTCTATGGTTGGAGTCTAATGTAGAAGGACCTGGAATGTGTCTCTATGGTTGGAGTCTAATGTAGAAGGACCTGGAATGTGTCTCTATGGTTGGAGTCTAATGTAGAGGGACCTGGAATGTGTCTCTATGGTTGGAGTCTAATGTAGAGGGACCTGGAATGTGTCTCTATGGTTGGAGTCTAATGTAGAAGGACCTGGAATGTGTCTCTATGGTTGGAGTCTAATGTAGAGGGACCTGGAATGTGTCTCTATGGTTGGAGTCTAATGTAGAAGGACCTGGAATGTGTCTCTATGGTTGGAGTCTAATGTAGAGGGACCTGGAATGTGTCTCTATGGCTGGAGTCTAATGTAGAAGGACCTGGAATGTGTCTCTATGGTTGGAGTCTAATGTAGAAGGACCTGGAATGTGTCTCTATGGTTGGAGTCTAATGTAGAAGGACCTGGAATGTGTCTCTATGGTTGGAGTCTAATGTAGAAGGACCTGGAATGTGTCTCTATGGTTGGAGTCTAATGTAGAGGGACCTGGAATGTGTCTCTATGGTTGGAGTCTAATGTAGAAGGACCTGGAATGTGTCTCTATGGTTGGAGTCTAATGTAGAGGGACCTGGAATGTGTCTCTATGGTTGGAGTCTAATGTAGAAGGACCTGGAATGTGTCTCTATGGTTGGAGTCTAATGTAGAAGGACCTGGAATGTGTCTCTATGGTTGGAGTCTAATGTAGAGGACCTGGAATGTGTCTCTATGGTTGGAGTCTAATGTAGAAGGACCTGGAATGTGTCTCTATGGTTGGAGTCTAATGTAGAAGGACCTGGAATGTGTCTCTATGGTTGGAGTCTAATGTAGAAGGACCTGGAATGTGTCTCTATGGTTGGAGTCTAATGTAGAAGGACCTGGAATGTGTCTCTATGGTTGGAGTCTAATGTAGAAGGACCTGGAATGTGTCTCTATGGTTGGAGTCTAATGTAGAAGGACCTGGAATGTGTCTCTATGGTTGGAGTCTAATGTAGAAGGACCTGGAATGTGTCTCTATGGTTGGAGTCTAATGTAGAGGGACCTGGAATGTGTCTCTATGGTTGGAGTCTAATGTAGAAGGACCTGGAATGTGTCTCTATGGTTGGAGTCTAATGTAGAAGGACCTGGAATGTGTCTCTATGGTTGGAGTCTAATGTAGAGGGACCTGGAATGTGTCTCTATGGTGGTGGA